TCCGCACGCCTTGTTGTTGCGTAGCCTCTGCATTGCATCGGTAACTTCGTGTGTGTGTGTGAGTGTTTGTCAAGGGGTCCAGGCCGTGCTGTGGCGTGCGCAGACGGGGTCACCGGCTCTGGCACCCAGTGCGCCCAAACCACATCAGACAACAGACCGTCTCGGACGGTGACCTGATGTTGGCGATGGGGAAGAGAATGAGGTCGAAGGTTCAGCGCATTCTCCTCATCATAACCAAGCTGACGCTCCTAAAGCTATCACGGTGCGCTAGGAGCCGTGGCTTGGAAGGTTACCAACCGACGGGAAACTCGGATCGCGCAGTCAGACTAGTGTGTGTTGTGTTGTGTGGAGTAGAGTAGAGTGGCCGACTGGCGGACCGAGAGTCAGGCTGCAATGGCTCTTTCTTCATGCGGCTGTTATGGCGCTCCCACTCAGCTGGGAGCTGTGTCGTCCCTTAATTTGTTGTGGTTTTTCATGGTTTATGATGGGCAACAGTGGGTGGGCCTGCGTCCTCTCCCATCTCCGGTCTTCTTGTTTTTGGCTTGAGACCGATCTAAGGTGGGAGAGGGGAAGAGAGGCCGATAGATGCTGCGTAAGTCTACTCTCACTATAATTAATCGCAAATCACTCTTCCTGCACCACCCTGTCATGCAGCATACGGCGGACCTCTTCTAAAGCAACGATCTAACTATCATCTGGCTAGATAGTTTTTATCGAACGCAAGTGGACGCTCGCCAACGAGTCTTCCGATTCCTTCCATGGTAATGTTGTAACTCTTGGTTTTGTTAATGTATTTACTCTAGGGTGTCTTTTAACAGAGCATGATCGATAGGCGATGGTGCAATCTCGAGTTAATTTGTCCTTCGAAGAGTATATTTGCAGGCAGGTATTCTTCAATTTCGCATAGTTCCACGCTCACACCTTGTAGCGATTTGAGCAGTGTTTTTACTCAGGGTACTATAATCATTTGGTTAGATCCCAAGTTATAAGGCAAGATAGGAGGCAACTGTGGAGGGAATGCATTGTGCAGAGGACTTTCAGTTGATGCCTCAGACAACAGGGGGCCGCTGTGGGGTTTACATTTAGGGTAGCGCTAAGGTCAGAGCTGAGCTTACGTACCAGTTACTGTTAGGATTAAGGCATAGGAATATTTATCCACCATGCAATATGTCGCAAGACGACATATTTTAAGCGGACGGGGCGTTCTTATTCCCGAGTCCTGTTTAGCCAGCTACACAAGTCATCCTTACCCGTTCTAATTACTGCTGTTAGGACGGCCCAGCGCGTGAGTCACCACCATTGTCATCCTGAGATCACGTCTGATAAAAGGCCACGAACAGAAGTAAGCGCGCAGTCCTAAAGGGACGTGAACGCGAGTAAGAACGCCGGCGGTTCATGCATGTCTCTGAGAGGTCCACCAGCACCCGATGGCCGCCCTGAGGTCAAGATAACAAAGAATGCCCACTCGCCAAAGGACGCATGCACAAAGGGCCAGGCGCGCTGAACACCGCATGATGGCTGCCTAGATGGGCCACTCGCGCGTGGACCAATAGGAAGAGACAAAGCGGGAAAAGCCGTTGGTCCTTAAATACGCTGCCACCGACAGGAGGCGAGACTCTGTTGCCCACACGAGAGCGTGCTGCCGACACACAGGACAAGCTGCAGAGGAGATGACTTGCTGACAGACTAGGGACAAGTTGAGAGACACGCGTAGAGTTTGAAATTCACGCAGCAACTGTTACAGTAAACTGTTCTCTGATACCCTGTCTGTCTTCTC